GTCTGTCTGTCAATCTATTTCTCATCTATCTTGCTGTCAATTTACCTGCGCATCTATTGATCATCTATCTGTCCGTCCAACCAAGAAGCAGAACTCCTTGAAATAGCCTTCCTATAACTTCTAATCATCACAGCATACACCAGGTCAGAAAAAGGAGAGTGCTTATGATTATATTTGCTCTTTGCAAGTTTAGCCGTAATCATCAGACTAGGAACAGAGTACACAAAGTCATCTTTTTTAAATTGTGTGGAGCCAGTCTCTCCATTTTGAAGCACAGGAGTGCTTCTGACTGAATGAGATTCCAGCCATTCTGAACATGCTTAATAAAAAGACACTTTCCCCCTTCGGTGCCTCTACACTCACTTGTTGCCCAGTAACCAGGAAGATTGAGCCTTCCTTTCCATGTACCACTTGTCGGTAAATGTGATCAAGAATTAAGAGTTCACTCCAGCAGTTCTGAAGCAGCTTCATTTGGTCATCAACCTGTAAAAGAACAGATGGAATTTCACTATATGTACATATACAATATCTATTTTTTGTGCATAAGTCTCAGTTTAGTGGAAAATGGGCTTGCTTAGGTGATTTAAGGATAGTACTGCACAGATGTTCAGATCTTAACCAAGTGGACCATTGTTTTTCAAAACAAAAGCTCAGGCCGTGTATAAATACTTAAAGTATTTATGATCAATGAACTGCTAGGAAAAGGCAATCCATTAGAGTGGTAGGTAGAACATTAATAGAGCTATTAAGGTCTGCTTGTGGAGGTTTGGGCATCTTAGATTGTGAAATAGTGAGTGATCCACAGGCACCAATATAATAATGCTAAGTAGCCCATGTTTATGTACCTGAAGGTTAATTTATTGAATGACCATTGAAAGAAGTAAATATTTTGTTCTATCAGATGGCCAAATGGAGAGAATTTTTTTGATCCAGTAGAATCATTATTAGTTCAGGGACCTCTCAATGTGGAAACTCCTTATACAGATACATATTGGCAACTCCTCAGTAACCTCAATTTTTAGTGATTTGCCTGAGGCATTGAGCAATGAAGTGATTTGCCCATGATTACAGAGCTAGTTATGTAAGAGGCAGAACTCAACCCAGGTCTTCCAGGCTTTTCTCCTTTATATCCTATGTCTTGTTGACCAGGGGTGGAATTTATGTGTAAGAAAATTAGAGAGTTTGTGAGATAGGATACAGTGAGAAGGCTACTAGATTTGGAGTCCTGAATTCAAATCCTATTTGTTAAATTCAAATGGGATAATGTCTACAAAGCATTGTATAACTATTACTAATTTTCTTAAAATTTTTTGCTCATCTCAAATACCCTAATGCTAAATATATGTACACATACATCAGTAAAAGTTAAGTTGATCTATTTTTAGGTCTGTCTCTCTCTGTCTGTGTCTCTGTGTCTCTCTCTGTCTCTGACTCTCCTCTCTCTGTCTCTGACTTTCTCTCCTCTCCTCTCTCTTTCTTTCTTCCATCCATCTGTCTATCTCTATCTTTCTTTCCCAGCTAAGTCCTTGGAGTCATCAAACGAAATTTGGATGGATAGAGATACCTCCTCTTGCCTCCCTCTTTCTTCTGGGTTTCCAATCGACAAGCTAATTTAATATTAAGCATAGCTAGCATTTAAATTGTACCTTAAGGTTTGCAAAGTGCTTTACAAATATTACTGATTTGGGATGTAGGTGCTATTAATATCCCTGTTTTGCAGATGAGGAAACTAAGGCAAACAGAGGTCAAGTGACTTGCCCAGGGTCACATAGCTAGCAAATGTCGGAGGCAGGATTCAAACTCATATCTTCCTGATTCCAAGTCCAGCACTCTCTCCACTGTGCCTCCCAGCTAATGCTAAGAGGTAAATATCCACCTTTTAGGGTAGTGATTTCCAGTGTTCATGTTCTGAAACATCAAGATGTCTCTATTCCTTATCCCAAGGGAGTGTTAAGATTTCTCAAAGCATGATTCATTTAAATCATTTAAACACATCCAAATTTAGAATTTTAGTGGTGAAACTCTGGGTGCAGCTGCTTAAGAAGAGGATTCTACTTAGCTGTAATGGTCAATTTGCAGTGAAAGGGCCTGGGTTCAAATGCAAACTGTGCCACCAAACTACCTGCCTGGCCTTGAACAAGGTATTTGACTAGTCTGGACTCAATTTCATCCTCCATAAAATGAGGGATTAAGACTAGTCCTTCTGTTGATTATTTCCTCTTTATCCTGTACATAGACTGTATAAAGCTTGCTTTGAATATATTTGTTTGCATGTTGTCTCCTCTGTTAGACTTTAAGTTCCTTGAGGACAGTGACTGTCTTTTGGCTCTTTTTGCATTCCCAGCATTTAGCGCAGTAGGCACTTAGTAAGTGAACATTTAAGCATATTAAGCACACAGTAGGTGCTTAATAAACATTCATTGAATTAAATGGAAATAAAGTGAATTCTAATGTCCTTTCTAGCTCTAAATGTACAGATGGAATGTTATGCTTTGGGAGGTTGAAGTTGATATCTCAAGGAACCTTAGTCATTTTTACTCACTTTTTTTTTTGGTGAGGCAGTTGGGGTTTAGTGACTTGTCAAGAGTCACACAGCTAGTAAGTGTTATGTGTCTGAGGTTGGATTTGAACTCAGGTCCTCCTGACTCCAGGGCCGGTGCGCTATACACTGCACCACCTAGGTGCCCCTACCTTAGTTATTTTTAAAGGCCTGTGGCCAACTCTATAACCCTGAGCTCAAGGCAGGGCCTTGGAAGTTTGGGTGGCATCATGACCTTCTTACCATATGTCAATAGTCAAGCCTGGCACAAAGCCTGAAAATGAGGATGTTTGGGGACTTGGTAATGAGGGATAAGGAGGGGCCAGCCATTCCCAAGCCTATCTTAATTCAACAAATTACAAGCAGATAGGTGAGGACTGTTATATACCACCCTCTCCTTTAGCCCCATGCCGACACCCTGAAGATGACATTGACTGCCCAGAGCTGTGTTTTGTAGTTACACAGGATTTCCTAGTACAAAATCACTGTATTTGAAGTGAGATCTCCAAAGCCTTATGCAGGATTACACTTCTAAGTCTGCAGCAGCTCATTTAGGCACTCCTTAGATGTGCCTTGAAATAATTGCTATAAGGTGAAGGTCACACTTCTGATCACCTCAATGTCATATCGCATGGGGAACACTCCAGGAAACAACTATCTCAGTTGTGTGTGTGTGTGTGTGTGAGAGACTTCCATACAAAGTTTTGCTTTTCTGCAATTCATAACATTACTATTCCAGCAAATAGGCTTATTACAAAGTTATTAACCTGTAGTCATTGGTATTGTCACACAATGGTATACCTTCACCATGATTAATTATTTCTAACAAAAGAAATATGTATTCTTGAGTAGATTATTCCTAATAATTTATCAGGTGAATTAATTTATTTCTAATAAAATAATTACTAGCATTAGTATAGTATTTTAAGTTTTACAAAGTGCTTTACAAATATTATTTCATTCGATCTTCATAACAACCCTAGGAGGAAGGTGCTATTATTATCCCCTTTTTATAGATGAGAAAATTGAGGCTAAAAGAGGGTAAGGGCTTAGGGTCACACAGTTAGTCAGTGTGTGAGGCAGGATCTGAACTCAGATCATCCTGACTACAGGATGAATGTTCCAAGTCCTATGCCACACTACCCTGTGCCATCTTAGAGTTATGTTGCTCTTTTGTCTGAGGAGTTCAAAATATTGTCCCAATGTTGTTTCACAACGACTCACAACAGAGGCATTTTACAGATGGAAGAATTAAGGAAGGAAGGAACAGCAAAATGAAAAAAAAAAACTTGTAGCGATAGAGGGAAAGTCAAATTTACAACTGAAAAGCTGCAGCTCTCCATCTAAATTTTATATCCTCTGTTTTCATTAAAAAAAATGGGACCAGGAAGATGTATAGAAAAACACCTTTTCAAACACAACCCCATATAAAATTGTAAAATCAGAAATCTGACTCCCTTTATCATTCTTTGCACTTGTTAGAGAAAACCTCTTTAAGCCGATGTATTTTATATCCAATATGAAGGAAAAAAGAGGGTAGGGGAAGGGGGCAGGGTCTGCAAAACAACTGCTTTCCTTCTAGCTCCTGTTTGTGTTTTCTTTCTTTAGCTATTGCCATGACAACTGAAGCCTAATACACCTGGACCACATGATTCATCACTTCATTATCTAGTATTTCATGGGTTCTAGTCTTATCTTGACTCTGACCCCTCTTCCCAGATCGTAAGCTCTCTGAGACTGGAGCCTATGCCTTTGATTCCAGTCCACAGTCGATGACAGGATTAATAGTTATAATCGACATTTATTTGTTTTGAACTAGACCTGTGATTTCATGGGCATAAAGAGCCTCTTTTACCAATGCAGATCAGCAGCTATTGAGCAACTTTTAGTCTTAGAGCTGTGTGGGGCACTAAGACGTTGTCAATCAGTCGATCAATTAATATTTATTAAGCACCTACTATGTGCCAGGCACTGTGCAAAAAGAGGTAAAAGATAACCCCTGCCCTCACAGAGTTCACAATCTAAGACTTGCCAGGTTCACACAGTCAGTCCATGTAGACTTAACTCAGGTCGTGCCAATTTCTAGGCTAGTTGTCTATCCTCCTGCAACATGACCACCTCTCAGGTGACACTTTTATAAATATTGATTTCAAAGATTTTGAATTACTAACTGGCTGTAGTTTTTACACTTCCAAGGGAGATTTTCTTTTCTTCTTTCTCTTCTTTTTTTTTTGAGGCAATCAGGGTTAAGTGACTTGCCCAGGTCACACAACTAGTAAGTATTTGAGGCTGGATTCAAAATAAGGTCCTCCTGACTCCAGGGCTGTCACTCTCTCTGTTGTACCACCTAGCTAACTACTGAAGTCTATTGAACACTGGAGTATTATTGAATTGGGTGCTGCGGGCAGACCTGTGCCTTAAGAAGATCTATTTGATAGCTGATTGGAGAATAAATTGGAGTTGGGAGAAGCTTGAGTCAAGGAGACTAACCAGCAGGCTTTGGCAATAGTTCAGGTGTGAGGTGATGAGAACCTCCAGCTGGGTGGTGGTAACGACAGAGCAGAGAAGAGGGCATATATGAGAGATGTTATAATAAAATTAGAAATAATAGGACTTGACAACTGGTTGGAAATGGGCATTTTCCTGAAGAATTTGTGCTTTGACCATTTACATAAATGATTGATAACCTGTCATGTTGCAATATCAAGGAAGTCAACGGCAGCTTCATTGCGAGCTCTGTTCATGTCTGAGGGGAGCATATACTTTATGCTTGTCTATCATAGCCATGAATAAGAGGAAAGGGTTAATATGATGTCAGTTCTTCACTATCTGTAGATAAGAAGTTTGGGTATTCTCAAGATAATTTTCAATAAGAAAATAAGTGAGAAAAAAGGTGAACAATGTACTTACGTTGACTAGATTCTCAGGGTATAAACATTGTCAA